GTGAGCCATTGTGCCTGGACTTGTTTTTTCATTTGTATAATTTTGAATTGTTGTATTGGGCCTTTTAATTTAAAAAAATATATATATTTTTGATCCATGGGTGGTTGAATCCCCAGATATGAAACTTGCACATACAGAGGGCCAACTGTCATTTAGATGTCACTGCATAAATAAGCATTAGCTGTAATTTTTCTTTTTTCTTTTTTTTTTTTTGAGATGGAGTCTTTGCTTTGTCGCCCAGGCTGGAGTGCAGTGGCACAATCTTAGCTCACTGGAACCTCTGCCTCCCAGGTTCAAGCAATTCTCCTGCCTCAGCCTCCCGAGTAGCTGGGACTACAGGTGCATGCCACCACGTCTGGTTAATTAATTATTTTTTTATTTTTAGTAGAGATGGTGCTTTACCATATTGGTCAGGCTGCTCTCGAACTCCTGACCTCAGGTGATCCACCTGCCTCAGCCTCCCAAAGTGCTGGGACGACAGGCGTGAGCCCCCACGCCAGGCCTTCAGCTTGCTTCTTAGGAAAGTACATATTTAATGTCTATTTCCATGGTAAAGAATTATTTATGCTTTGATTTGGGCCTCAACATGAATTTTAAACAGAAATCCATTCAAAGTATATGTGTAATAACCTTTATTTTTTTGGAGACAGTCTCACTGTCGCCCAAGCTGAAGTGCAGTGGTATGATTTCGGCTCACTGCAGCTTCAACCTCCTGGACTCAGCTGATCTTCCCACCTCAGCCTCCTGTAGGTGCACATGACCACACCTGGCTAATTTTTTGTAGAGATTGGGTTTCAACATGCTCCCCAAGCTGCTCTTCAACTCCTGGGCTCACGCGATCCGCCCACATAGGCGTGCGCGACTACACCCGGCCTATGTGTAATAATTTAAATGTCCCACCGTCCCTGCTGTATTTGACTAAGGATATCAATGTCTCTCTTTGAAATCTACTATTAGCCTTCACCTTATTGTGTGAAATTCCAGCTGAACACTGAAAACCAGTCTCCCTCTCTATGGCTGCTCTCATTTCCTCCACAATCACTGCTCCCACGGTGAGCTGCAGGTCTGGAGAGGTGAGGTTATCAAGCTGAAGAGAATTGAGCCATTGAAATAAGCCTTGTTTTCGCATCCCCTCTGAAATGAATTAAGAAGTCACATTTAGACATTTAAAAAAATGATTTAATTGTGCTATCTAATGTAGAAATACTTAGATTACAGGTATTTAGACATATAAGTTTTCACAAAAAAATGGCATCCAGTTTACAAGACTAACTATGAGAGAGATCAATTTCTCCTTCAGAGTGATTCCCGCAGCTTAGCTTCAGCATAGGCTGAATTTTTTGTACAACAAATATTTTGTATTAATATCATCTTTCACGAGCAATGATTTTAAAACACATTTTCAGCCAGGCATGGTGGCTCACGCCTGTATTGCCAGCACTTTGGGAGACCAAGGTGGGTGGATCAACTGAGGCCAGGAGTTTAAGACCAGCCTGGCCAACATGGCAAAACCCCATCTCTACTAAAAATACAAAATTAGCTTGGCGTGGTGGTGCAGGCCTGTAATCACAGCTACTCAAGAGGCTGAGGCAGGAGATTCGCTGGAAACCAGGAGGCGGAGGTTGCAGTGAGCCGAGATTGTGCCGCTGCACTCCAGCCTGGGCGACAGAGCAAGACTACATCTCAAAACAAACAAACAAACAAACAAATAAATAAATAAATAAATAAAAATAATGAAAACACATTTATCTCCCCAGTTGTCTTGAATTTTCTTTCTCCTACCATATTTAACTACTTGAACATCTCCAAGAAATTTTTTTTCAATTAGAAAATATTCACAATTAACTCAAGCTTCAATACAAGCTTTTTAACATTTACATGTTTTTAGAGGTGGATTCCAGCTGAGTAACTTAAAATCCACTCCGAGGCACTAGATTTATTTCCCTGACAAGCTGTTTTAAGTTAGATGTTGCTTGGGACTTAGGACCTTGAAAATATCTTATGCTGAGTACATACAAATCTTTATCCCCAAACTTACACTCTAATCCCTCAGCTCTACCTCCCTACAGACGAACTTTTCCTGACTGCCTACCG